GTTAGCACCTCGTTCTGCGTCGGTTGCTCTTGACCGACGCCGAACTCATACTGAGAGACGCCGAGTTCCTCCTTCATGCTGTACGCGTACTGGCCTGCACACAGATGCAATACATGCACCAACACGTCACCGCTCACGTCACCGTTACGTCACCGTTACGTCACCAACACGTCACCATCACGTCTCCGTTACGGTCACCGTACATCACACGTTACTGTAGCGTCACTATTAAGTCATAAACACAGCACTGAACCGTCACTGACAGACCCCTTTATTTCCACGTCCCACCCTCCTATTTTCCTGTCCATACCGCCTATCTATATCTATCTATCTATCTATCTATCTATCTATCTATCTATCTATCTATCTATCTATCTATCTAACTATCTATCTATATCTATCTACCTACCTATCTCTCTCTCTATCTATCTATCTATCTATCTATCTATCTATCTATCTATCTATCTATCTATCTATCTATTCTTCTACCTATCTCTCTTTTATCTATCTCTATCTATCTATCTATCTATCTACTATCTATCTATCTATCTATCTATCTATCTATCTATCTATCTATCTATCTATCTATCTATCTATATCTATATCTATATCTATATCTATATCTATATCTATATCTATCTAACTATCTATCTATATATATATATGTATCCTATATATTTCCCCGTGATGCATACCTCGTAGAACTGCGGCACGTTGTTGTTGATGTCTAGCAGCGTGACGTAGACGACAACGCTCGCTGTGCGCGGGCGCCGCCGCGCGTCTCGCGCAGGTGCGCCGTAAACGCCAGCAGCGCCCCCTGCTCCAGCAGCAGCAGCGGACGCGTCGTCGTGACGGCGCCCGTCGTCGCGTCGACGGCGAAGTCGGTCGTGTCGGCGAGCGTGTAGGTGATGACGTCATCAACGGGTCCGCGGCCCTCTATGGCGACATCCAGCACGTGGGTGCCTGCAGCGGGATGTGTTCTCGTTTACCAAGTTGTTTTGTTGGTTCCCAGCACCACCCCCAGCCACCACCCCCACCCACGTATCGCTTACTCCCTCACCCCAAGCACAACCCCACCCCCAGCACCACTGACACATCCCTGCTCCCCACCCCCTGCACCCACCCCAACCCTAGCACCACCCCACCCCACACCCCTGCTCCCCCACATCCCGCTCCCCCACACCCACCACCACCCCATATCTCTGCTCCCCACCTACCCCCACCACCCCGACATCCCTGCTCCCCTACCCCCCCAAATCCCTGCTCTCCCACCCCCACATCCCTGCTCCCCCCCCTCCCAAATCCCTGCTCTCCCACCCCAAACATCCCTGTTCCCCCCCCCCCCCCCAAATCCCTGCCTCCCATCCCCACTCCCACATCCCTACCGCCCACCCCCACCCCCGCTCCCCCCACACCCACCACACCCCCATATCTCTGCTCCCCACCTACACCCACCACCCCACATCCTGCTCCCCACTGCCACCCCCACCCTCACTCCCACTCCACATCCCTGCTCCCCCACCCCACCCCGCAATCCCTCTCCCCCCCCTCAAATCGCCTGTCTCCCCCACCCCACATCCCGCTCCCCTACCCCCACATCCCTGCTCCCCACCCCCCATCCTTGCCCCCCCCATCCCTGGCTCTCCAAGCCCGCCATCCCTGCCCCCACCCCACCCACATCCCTGCTCCTCGCACCCGCCCCACCAATCCCTGCTCCCCATCCCGCAATCCCTGCCCCCCACCCCCAAAGTCCCGCTCCCCGCACCCCCACATCCCTGCTTCCCGCTCCCCCCCCCCCACCACATTAGCCGCCACCCCAATCCCTGTCTCTCCCACCCCCGCATGCTCGCGCCCCTACCCCACCCCGACCCGCACATCCCTACTACCCCACCCCACCCCAAATCCCTGATCCCCAGCTCCCATCCCTGCTCCCCCACCCCCACATCCCTGCTCCCGCGCACCCCGAACCACCACCCAACCAGCCTTACCGGCCTGGCGTGGTCTCATCCCGATGGTCCTGTTTGTAAGGAGATTCGCTGAAGGTGAGAGGGTCGCAGTCTAGCGTCACGTTCCATTCTGACATCACGACCAGCAGCGTCATCTTACCTGTGATATAATATGTCACAGTGTGAGAGATATATATATCACACACAGTCGGAGCTATATATATATCACACACAGTGTGAGAGAGAGAGATATATATATCACACAGTCAGAGATATATATATATCACACAACATCATGTTACCTGTGATATAATATGTCACAGTGTGAGAGATATATATATCACACACAGCATCATGTTACCTGTGATATAATATGTCACAGTGTGAGAGATATATATATCACACACAACATCATGTATCAATTATGCGCACCAAGTGTGAGAGGAATATATATCATACAACAGCATGCATGTTACCTGTATACATATGTACATGTGAGAGTTATATAGTCACACACAACAGTGCATGTATGTATATAATATGTACATAGCAGAATAAATACGACAGCATATTTTACCTGTAGTCACAAACGTGAATAGTATCAATCACCGTGGAATATATTTAATATAGATTGATATTTATATGAGAGAGGAGAGAATGCTATGCTAAGATGTTATACTCATACCCGCACCACACGAATACACACACACGCACACGCCACCGCGACACTACAGCCACGTTCAATACACGCACACGCATAACACACGCATCAACGTACACGACACATGACGTAGCGCACACGCACGCGCACATCACACGCGCACGCGTCACACGCCACGCCGCGCACGCGCACGCGCACACGCATACACACACACCGCACACGCATTACACACACAACACCCACACACGCAACGCCTGCACGTAGACGCGCACCAGCCTGAGGAATCCCTACAACTTAAACCGCGAGGTAACATTAAAAGTTGACGCTACGGTGCGAACCACGCCGCGGTTGCCACGGCGACGCGCAGGGATGCTGCGCACCTGACAGCGGAGGGCTTCCATTGTCTGTGGCGGCGTGATCTCGGAGCTGCAGGGTGCCGCCGTGACCGAGAGCCGATCAAGCCGGCATCGTAGAGCTCCTCCAAACTCATCTGCTTCTTGATGACGATGATGCCTGCAAGGAAACCACGAATATGGCTTCATTCGTCTTATCACCTATGGCTTAACACGACACATCAATAATTGACATACTATTGTCACCATTTAGTCCACAATTCAATAATTGACAATGTCAATTTTGATATTGTCACTTCAATTGACACTGTCACTTCTGAATCTAGTCAAATTTGTGTAGTTACTGAAGTCTGTCGTAGTAGTCACCATTGTAATCAAGCATGCTCATAGAACATCATTCAATCAGTAGGCAGCATAGCGAGCAAGCGCAGCACCAGCAGCCAGCAGCAGTAGCAGGCAGCAGCAGCAGCAGCAGCATAGCAGTATGCAGCAGTAGTAGTAGCAGCAGCGCAGCAGTAGTGTACAGCAGCAGCCGTAGTAGCGAGCCAGCAGCAGTAGCCAGCAGTAGCAGCAGCAGTTAGCGAGGCATGCAGTAGTAGCAGCAGTAGTAGGCAGCAGCCAGCAGCGGTACGTAGAGCGGTAGCAGCAGTATAGCTAGATTAGAGCAGCAGCAGCCAGCAGTCAGTGTAGTGAGCAGCAGCAGCAGCGGTTAGCATAAGCAGCAGTATGTAGTTAGTAGCTAGCAAGCAGCACTAGCAGCAGCAGCATGTAGTTAGTACGCAGCAGCCACAGCGGTAGCAGCATGAGCAGTAGTAGTATAGCTAGCAGGCAGCAGCAGCATATAATGTAGCAGCAGCAGCAGCTCGGTAGCAGCAGTAACAGTATCATTATCATTATCATTAGCAAGGAAACCACGAATATGGCTTAACCACTCGTGCTCAAGGGGTCGTTGCGTAACTACAGATATTACCTGAGAGTACATATATGTATACTACAAAAGTGTACCAGACTTGTAACTTACAGAAGGTACCCTAACCCTAACACCTGACCCTTAACCCTAACTCGTAAACATACCATCATATAAAATATAAACATAATACTAAACAACCTGAAACTACCTCGGGTACATATCTTAGTACCTGATATGACAACGACCCCATCTTTCACCACTCGGGTCCATCACCATGTTAACTTGACATTCGGTTGAATGTGGTTTGATCTGTGATTGTCGTTGTAGCTTTACTGAAGCTTCGTAGTATTTATAGTCACCATTGTAATTATCATCAAATCATCATCATGTAAACAGTAGCTCAGTAGCAGCAGCCACGCAGTAGCAGCAGCAGCAGTAGTAGTAGGCAGCCAGTAGCTATGGTAGTAGCATAGTCCCGCAGCAGCAGCAGTAAGTATAGCAACAGCAGCGCAGCAGTAGCAGTTAGCAGAGTTAGCTAGCAGCAGTAGCCAAGTCCCGCAGCAGTAGTAGTAGGCACAACAGCAGCCGCAGCAGTAAGCGTAGTAGCAGTAGCAGTAGGCAGCATAGTAGCAGCATAGCAGCCGCAGCAGTAGCAGCCGCCAGCAGTAGCAGCAGTAGCAAGTATTGTAGCAGCAGCAGCATGCCAGCACAGCAGTAGCAGCTAGCCAGTATAGTAGCAGCCGCAGTAGTAGTAGTAGGCAGCAGCTAGCAGCAGCAGCACAGTAGCAGTAGCAGTAGTAGTAGCGCAGCAGTATTAAAGTAGAGGAGTAGCAGCCGCAGGCAGCAGCAGCAGCAGCAGTATGTAGTAGGACAAGTACATTATCAGTATCATCATCATTGTCGTCGTCGTCATCGTTTGATGAGATGATCCATTCATCACCCTAACATCACATCACATCACCACACCAATCACATCGACATCGACATCGCCATCATCGCCAATCACCATCACCATGCGTCGACTATACAATTCGTCCATCACCGTTGCCCACCACACCACACAGGCACATCATATCAGCACATCAACTGTCAGCCATCACGACCTCGCATCAGCCAACGTACTACGAGGC